TACTTTATGAATCAATAAAAAATTTACTATTTTTAATTATAAACCTGTGTTTTCTATCAAAATTACTTCTTGCGTGAATTTTGGGACACCCTTTACTAATATTAACCTAATGTGCTCATCAATGTGGTCCTGTTAGTTCCAAAAAAGCCTTGGCATTAATTCATTAACTGTATATGGGTCAGTGGTTGAGCATCGACCCAGGAACCAATAAGTCACTGGTTTGATTCTGAGTCAGGGCACATGCCTGGGTTGTGGGCTCCATCCCCAGTAGAGGACATGCAGGAGACAGCTGATGAATGATTTTCTCTCATCATTGATATTTCCATCTCTCTCTCCCTCAGCCTTCCTTTCTGAAATCAATAAAAATATATCTTAAATAAATCCGTCTGAGTTTACAGGACATGCACCACTTCCTCAGAAGCAGTCTGACTGTGATTGTGACAGGGCCTTTGGTAGTGTTGTGAGGATCCTTGGGTGAGACTTTACAAATGAACAAACAATGATAAAAGTACCCCTGATCAGTTTAGTTTGCATGGGGCTTACTCTATTATAGCCCCATAGCACCTGAACAAAATCCAAATAAAATACCAAAAAAAAAAAAAAAACACGGTAGTTTAAAATGCTATTTTGTATAGTCACGTAGAATAATAAGACAACCAGAGAAACTCCAGTGGCTTGAATTACTGCTCCCCTGTGAATCTGCATCTCCCAGGGTCCCACACAGCCTGAGCCTGAGGGTATTGGAGTAGGAAATCCATTATGAACAACTGAAACCAGAGGGGTATGTTTCCAGATAAGGCTTACAGTACACCTTTTCCCAAACCTGTTCTCTACTCACAGCCCTCTTTTGGTTTCCTGAATTTCAATCCTCTTATACTCTGCATATGTGTGGTGGCCTAAGGACACCATCTTCTTGGAAGGTTTCCCCTCAGTGGCCTAATATTTCAATTGGGTACATGAGTCTGTGGTTTCGTTCTTGACCTTTTGGAGTCTCGGCCATAATATAGACAAAGAGAGTCTCATCTTAAATATCTTTACAAAAAGCCAATGTGCACATTCGGCCCAGTAGTAGCAGTTAAGGGCAAGGAAACCTTCAGTCAGCTAAACAGAAATGCTGGTACACATAAGAAGCAACCACTCAGCAACAATGCTGAAAAAAAATGCTATGAAGGCATTTAGGAGGAAGAGCAGATGGGAATAGGGCTGGCCAGCACATATGTAGACATAATTTGGGAAACAGGGCAGAGGTGCTAGTTAAGATGTAAGAAATCAAAGCCCTAACATATGCAGTAAGGTGTATACAATACTCAAGCCAGAGCAAAAAAGTAACCAGGCTCATTTTCTGCAAGGAGTATGTCCTGTCAGATGTTTAAAAGGACTAAGAGTGGAGCAACATGGCACTTTAAAGGGAATTTGGGAAAGTATTTACGATCTTAGACTTTGGAACCAGTAGGGAAATAAATGGATTTTAATTTTTAATACTTGCCAGCTGTTTGACTTTGAATAAGTGATAAAGCTTCACGTAGCCTCAGTGTCCCCATTTACACAATGTGGGCCATGTGTGGTACCTGCCTGGGGAGTTTTTCCAAAGATGAAATGAGGCACTGTTCATGTAACCATCTTATTGAATTGATTCTATTCCATCAATAGAATGTGATCATTAAGCAATTTGATTTTAATCAAGCTGCCCCTTAAATCCCACATGGATAGCTAGCTCTTTCCTTTGGCTTGCTGGAAATTTTAAGCAAGTCCCATAGCTTTTATGGGCCCCTCAATCTCAAGAAGGATCTCATTGTAGCTGTGAAATTTTCCAGTCCAGTGAAGTAATCACTTCTAACTGATTAGATTTAAGGTTCCCACCTTCCCAGCTCAGGGCTGCTTTAGGCCTGGAAGCCTGCAGTGGGTGGGGCCTTGTTCCACTGCTGTTTCCTTTCCAGGCTTCTCTCTTCTATTTCCCCCAACTCCCAGGCCCCTCCCAGGTCTGGCTGATGGGAAGAGATGAGGCACAGTGTTAAATGGCCCTTACTCTCTTGACCTGTGCTGGTGGTCCTGGGCTTAGAGGACATTCAAAATTGACTCCTCTCAGGCGGCACAACTGTAATTGTTTCCAGGAACTCTCTTACAAGAGCCTCCATCTGTAGCTTGCTGGAAGCAGGCAAAGCTCCTCCCGGTTGATTGTAACTCCTCTTTCTAAGCCTTGAGCATCTGATGGGTCTGTTGTGCTCAGTCTCTTCATTCCCTGCTCCTACTCTAAGCAGCCTTTTCAAGTGTGCTCCAGCCAATTCTCTCCAATGAGGCCATAGGTAAATTCACACACTCATATATCCTTGACCACTTCAAGGACTGCTTCTCCCCAAACACTCCCACCCACTGCTCTGCCAGACCAAGCATGGCCTCTCAGCTTTAGATTCTCGGCATATGTCATATACCTGGACTCCATGTCCTCTAAATTACAGGACACACCTATTAATCTCTCTGAGTGGTTCCCTTGAAATACCTCTCAACTGTGGAAGGAGAGACATACAACCCACAACTAAATAAATCCTCTTTCAACTCTTGGGCTCTAGTCTTCAAAGACATAACTGTTCATACTGGCCTCACAGCTCCTGCTTAGGTAGTCCAACATCTTGCTTTAGGACATATGGCTCTTGCCAAATATCTAGAGTGTTCTAGTATTTAGACCTCCATCAAAATCTGTGACAAGAGGAAGAAAAACTCATCCATCCTCCCGCCACATCTAGCATCCCACCTGACACATGAAGGTATGGAGACTCTGTATCCCCTCCTTCTTTTTATATACCTGGGACCTTGGGTGAGCCATTTGAAATAAGTGAATCTAGGTTGAGAACTGAAATAATATCTTCCTTGTCAACTTTATAACTTTGTTTGAGAATAGCAAGGAACAAGATGAATGAGCAAGTGCTTTATATATTTAAAAATAATCTATAGAGAAAAATGTAACCTACTATTAAGACATGAGAATAGCAGTTTCATCAGAAATAGTGACTCCTTGGTCTATTTTTCTTCCTATCTAATACATACAGCAAATCTGGTAAAGGAAGGACAAGTTTTCAATGACCATGAACAAACATCAGAGAGAAGGTTAATTATCTTATTTATGTATCACATATTAAACCTGCGGGTTGACTACTAGAATGCATGGAATATAAGGAATGAATGTTGTGGTTCTTACACCTCATACTTCACTTCATCTTGCTTCCTTCAACAATCCAGAGACCAAAAACATTTTCACTTAGAAATAAAAAATAAATGTTTTTCAAGGTAAAAACAAAACAAAACAAAACAAAAACCCTCTAAGTGCATGCCAGGTAAAGCCTGCCTTTTCCACTCGCTCTTGTCCTGACTATAGCCCTGTGCTCAAGAAAGCAAGGTTAAACTGGATTTGGGAGAGTGTGAGAGAGTGACTACTGATAGAGTTAGGTACTAGACTAAAGAGCTCTATCCATGTGTGAGCTAATGACCAAAGAGACAGCCTGGTGCAAAGGCAAGAGGGTGGGGTGGAAACTGATGAAAACATCAGAATTCCCCTGAGAACTGAGCTGTGAGGAAAGAGCACAACTGAGCAGAGAGAAACAGAGATGCCAAGAGAGACTCTGTGTGCTTGTGTGAGAGAGAGAAAGAGAGAGAGAGAGAGAAAGAGAGAGGAGAGAGAGAGAGAGAGAGAGAGAGAGAGAGAGAGAGAGAGAGAATGAAAGAGACTGTCTTGCTGTCTTGGTTCTTTTAAATTTCTTGGTTCCATATCCAGCAGTTGTATCTTTATAATAAGTCCCATTTTTCAGACTATCCTTATTACTCCGTCAGTTGAACTATACAAGGAAGGGAGGTAATAGTCTGGGCCCTGCAAAGCTAATTTATTTCCATCATACTGGAGAACTGAGAATCTTCTAGAACCATTTCTAATGTATAAGTGTCGATCTTCCTTCCTGGACCTGCCCTATTTCAAACTAGGCCAGCCTTTGAGGGCAGAATGTGATATAAACCTAGTTTTTTCAACACATTCACATCTGCCCATGCCAAATGACCAGCTCTTCAGGCTCCAAGACCATCCTATTAAGGCTGAATTGAACTTGCCCAAAGCTCTTAGCATTGTAGGACACAATTTAGGGGTCTTTGCAAAGTTGAGTTCCTGCCTCATACTGATTGGGTAGACATCTAAATAGCCAAGCAATAACCCACAAAAGCAGTTTAAATACAAATTACTGATGCAATGAAATGAATATTCTTTTTGTAACGGGTGTACAAATATTATAAGGATATTAGCATGTTTTAATTACTCACAACTCTGCCACCATAAGTACAAATAGAACTGAAATCTAAGTCTTCCACTCCCTAACTGTGTGACTTTGAGAAAGTTGCTTTACCTCTAGGACAGTGACGGCGAACCTTTTGAGCTCGGAGTGTCAGCATTTTGAAAAACCCTAACTTAACTCTGGTGCCGTGTCACGTATAGAAATTTTTTGATATTTTGCAACCATAGTAATACAAAGACTTATATTTTTGATATTTATTTTATATATTAAATGCCATTTAACAAAGAAAAATCAACCAAAAAAAATGAGTTCGCGTGTCACCTCTGACATGCATGTCATAGGTTCACCATCACTGCTCTAGGACATCCTACCCATCTATAATCAAGATAATACCTATTCACATGGTTTTGTGAAGGTCAAAGCAGACACCTAGCAAGATGCCGCAGGTGCAGCAAAAGTATAACGATAGTAATCATTCCTGGAGCACTTGGTCTGTGCCAGGCTGAGGTAATCATTGTACCTGTTTTATTTCATTTTATTTTTCCAATAACCTTTTGAAGTATACACGTGTTTAAGGTAAAGTCACTGAAGCACGCAGTGATTAAATCACGTGCCTAAGTAACTAACATAGCTAAGAGGATGGCACCAGCAAAGGGCTCCTCCCTTTATTTTTCATTCTTCACAAGGGGGAAGAGTCCAGGCTTAAAGAAATTAGCAGCAACTACTCACTTGGGGTTCATCAGTTCCAAGTCTCCGATATGTTGACTCACACAGTTTTTTAATTTTCTCAGGACCCTCGATATCATAATCTTTGGGGTAAGCTTCTCTGTTGCGGTGCCTTAAGAAAAAAGTAAGAATCCGTTAAAAGATAAAGCTTATTTATCATGTACTGCATTTAACCTTTAAAAAATTATCCAATAAAAATAGACTATATTTGGGAAATTATTTTAATTACAAATTTACTAGATTTATGACATATATTTTCCATCTCTTTTTGACTAATACTGAGGCTACTTCTTAAAAACAACTTGGCACATGTGGTAAAACTAATATCACAAAACAATACTTAGCAAGCAGCAATTATTCAGTGACTCCAATGAAGTGAATCTTATTTAATAATGTAGATTAGTTACCAAAAGTAAATTCTAAAATAAGACATGGTAATATCTTAGAAAGGCAACTTGCCACTTTAGAAATTTTTCCCACCATGAATTTTAATTATAATTTTTTTTCAAAATGAGAGAGAACAGAAAGTATTTGCTCATATGAATTTATAACATGTGCTCCTGTTTCTAAAGAGGGTTTAAAAGAAACTGACAATTAAACATAAGATAGAAAAAAACAGTTCTTAAAACATGTAAATGAAACAAGAAAAAATATTCCAAACATCTTGTCTAAAAGACTGGTTAGAAATAATAATAAGGGAGAAATTTGGGGATAGAGAAGAAAGAAGAGGTGAAGTAGCCTGCAAGAGAGGTAGCTATTTTTATAAAGCTTTCTTGGGTAAGACAAAGGAAGCTGAGCCCAAGCACCCCTCAGAAGTGAACTTGCAATTAAGGGATACAGGGCTAGAATTGTGTAATGGACACTGAGGTATCCAAAAATTTCTCTACCTATCCGTCCCTTCAACTGTCCCTTCATTAAGCATGTATTTTTAGGTACCTACTATGTGCCAGGCATTTTGCTAGGTACAGGGGGTGCAATGGAAAGCAAGCCTGATGTAGCCCCTGCCTTCACTTGCTCATAATGTGGCAAGAACAACATACAATTAAGAAAAGTCTACAACATGCTGAGTGTGGTCACAGGACTGTGGAAACAGAACAGCATCCATTCACCTCAATGGGGCACTCAGTGTCCAAGTTAGGAGGTCTTTTAGGAACCAACCCTCATCTTGGCCTTTGTACTGCATTCAAATTACACCTTACCTCTCCACCTCTGAGAATTGGGAGTGAGTTATGCAGAGAATACAACAGCAAGGAAGCCCAGATTGAAGTGGCAGAGTTCCAGCTCTCTTGCCTTCCTCACAACTGAGCATTAATTTAAAAGTATATTGATACAATACCAGCATTTTTTGAGACTGACAGAAAGCTCTCATGCAAGTCCTTAGTGGGTATATTGAACGACATCAAGAACCAGGAGTGGTAGAGGTAATAAGGCCATACATTTGAATCTTTGCTAAGCCAGGTCCTAGCTGTGTGACCTTAGGCAAGTTATTTAACCCTCTTGCTTCATATGTAAAATGAGAACATAAACAAATACCAGTACCTTTTTAGATTTTTATTAGAATTAAAATGAAAAAATACAGAAGGTTCTTCAAATACTGTAAAGCTCTATAAACATCTATGTATAGTGAATACGAATCAGGCTTCAAAAATTCTGGTATATAAGAATCACAACATAATTTTTCAATAATTAAACTTAATTTCCATAGTTTAACAAAGCTCTCACTTTCCAGTTGGAAAACATTAGTCTTGGTCAGTTCAGGAGTCCTTTCAGCTCTAAATGGTCCAAGTGGTTCCCCCATGCCAAGAATCCATCTTTGTTGTCATTGTCGCTTCTTGGTAGCATTTGTGGAAACATTCCCCTGTGGTTTTTTGTTATGGATCCATGCAGATCTCTGCTATGCCTTCCTGGTCCTGCCACACAGATGTTTGTATAGTCTGGCATTGAGACACAAGGGTGTCACTCACTAGCCTATCAAAAACTTTCTAGTATCCCCCACCATCCAGGGTTTCTAGAAATCTTCCAAGTTAGGTTGTCATCCTAAAGTCTAAGCTTTTGAACCCCAAATTCAAGAATTTGGCTATGTTGCCTGCTGGGTCATTCTTACCTGAAGCAATAAAATTAGAATACCAAAGGAGAACCAAGATGGCAGCATAAGGTATAAATCTGTACGTGCTGCCCCTCACAACAACATTAAAACTACAACTATAAGACAAAGGAGATATCATCCAGAACCACAGGAAAGCTGGCCGAGTGGAAGTTCTACAACTAGAAGGAAAGAAAAAAGCACATTGAGACCAGGTAGGAGGTGCAGAGGTGCCAAGAACAGAGGTTACAAAAGTACGCGCGAGGCGGCTGCACCTGGGTGCACAATTTTTTTCAATCTGAAAGGGATACAAGCTCTTGAATGCACTGAACTCATTTACGGTGAGACTCTGGGGTCCCAGACTCCTACTGGGAGAAACTGGACTGTCTTGCAGTGGGTCGGAAAGCGAGGGTGGCTTTCTCGCAGAGCTGCTCACAGGGATCATTGTTGCTGTGGGGGTGTGGGACTTGAGGACGCAGAGACATGGAGTCGCAGAGACAGCTGACGACAGCCATTGCTGTTTACTCCGCCCTGGTGATTCTCTGAGACCCCGCCCACTCAATTTACATCTCCACCCAAGCTGTGCCCAGAAGCACAAAAGAATTCCTGCACTTTTGCAGCCTAACCTAACAAACTGCAGCTGGGTCAGAGAGCTCCAAAACTTCCAAACCCCAAACAAAGAGGAGAAATCTGCTGATATCACTGTAGCTCCTGCTGGGTGCACTCACACAGTGGTTGACTTGGAGATCCAGGAGCCAGGGTACCTCTGGCCAGATACCAGATTTCAACTCCTCACATCCATAAGGGACACACTCAAGAAGCAGACTCAGTGATCACCAAAGCCCCACTGAAGCAAGTCCTACCCCATAAGGGTGTCTCCAGCACAGCAGTTCTTCCACTGTAGACACAGTGGGTCCTCGCAGTCAGCCAAAAATGTGGAGACAAAGAAACATGTCACAAATGAAAGAAATGGAGGAAAGCAAACTAATGGAGGACATAGAGCTCAAAACCACAGTTATAAGGCTACTCAAGAACCTTCTACGAACCTCCGAGGAACTTAGTGAGACCTTCAAGGATCTTAATGAGAATGCCAAAAAAAAAATGGGAAGGACCAGGCAGAAATTAAACATACACTGACTGAAATTAAAAATAATATACAGAGATCCAAAAGCAGACTAGAAGATCCCAAGAATCAAGTCAAAGATTTGAAATATGAAGAAGCAAAAAACACCCATCCAGAAAAGCAAAACGAAAAAAGAATCCAAAAATATGAAGATAGTGTAAGATAGCGTACATTTTTTTTTTTATAAAGGAAGGGACCCATGAAGGCAAAGACAGCATTCATGAAAGACAGAATGCAGTTCTGATTATCCCACCATATATTTTAAGTTGTATTCTAACTGGATTATTACAAAAAATACAGATATGTTTCTTTTCTTATAGCAATCTCAATAACAGCCAAAAGCCCAGAATTGAAAAGATAAATCTATAATGAAAGTGTTTCCTTGGAAGACTGAGCTAATGCAACTAGCATTCCCTAATGCCTGTAGGCTGCCCGTGAATAATGTGCCCACAGCCTGCAGCCTCCAAGAGACACACAACTGAAGGCTTAGACCTCCTCCTATTTCTACAAGGCTGCCAGCCTAGCAAAGAGAAATATACGTGTTTAAAAATTATAAAATATATAACATGTAGTAATATAGAATGAAAAATATCAAAAGTTTTATTAAATATACTATATTTTTAATTTTTGAATTTTTATATTTTAAATACAACATATGTACTATACACTAAATA